GCCTTCGTTCTGGACTCCTGTCATGACAATAATACCCAATCATATATCCCTTTTAAACAGCTCTCTCCCTCATCTGTTTCAATGCAATATATATCATTCCTCCCCTCCTTCTCTGGCCACCATTTTCTAATCTCTGTTGTCCTGGACAATTCATCTTTTATACTTCATCCAGCAAAACAAAAGCCCAGCAGTTTATAAAAAAGCAACAACCTGTTGTCCCTCTAGCAAAATTTTTGGATGTCTGATGAAGGAAGTGAGGTTCAAGAAACCTTTTTGAGCCATGTGCCAGTATAGTATATTCTCTTCTAAAGTCTCAGCCTCAGATCCCACCTTTGGGCTTCTTGCTTCATTTTTAATAAACATTTCTTCAGCACCAACTAGGTGCCAGGCACTCTGCTAGGTGCTATAGGAAAAACAAATGAGTAAGTCAAGGTCCCTGCTCTCAAGGAGTTCAGTCAAGGGAGGGAGACAGACTTGTAAACATATCAAGGTAATACAAGGCAGAATTAAAGCAGAGCCTGATAGGAGCACAAACAGCGTACTATGGGAACACAGACAAAGCAGCCATTAATTCTGACTGGAAATATCAGGGAAGGCATTGCAGAAGAGGTGGCATTTAGCTGAGCTGTGAAGTGCAAGTTATGTTCCCCAGGTGGAGAAAGAATGGAAGAAAGGAACGGGGGTGGGGTGGGGGATTCAATAAAGGAGATTAAATTAAATAAAGGAAATTGTGGAGAAAGGAGACAGAAGCTGGCCCCATGACCGACCTCCTGGGTCCCATGACAGACCTTACACAAACTTTCTTAATGACTTTTATCATACCCTAGTTTAGACAAACTTAAGTTTATGTTTCTCACACACCAGAATATGAGTTCCATAAAGGTAATGTCATAAAGGATGATGTCTCACTCATCCTGGTGTCACAAGTACCTAATGACTGATACATAAATGCTCAGTAAGTGCTCAATAAAAGTGGATCCATGAACCAGAAAACAATCGAAAAAGAGAGACCAGAACATGTATGGGAAAGAGAAAAGGCATACAAGGGCTGCAGTGGAAGAAGAGGTCAGACACACAGGCTTGAATCAGGCAATATATAAACTCATGGATGTCTGACTTAATCGTGGAATCTGAGTCACTCACTTTAGTGTCCCTCACTTTACATGAACAGGATAGTTTATTACTTTTCCCATGAATTTCTCAGGTTCCAAAAACATTCTGACGAATGAAGAATAAATGACTATGTAAAGGCAGAAAAACACAGAGTAGATGCTTAGGAATGATCTTTTAAAAAATTGAATGAAAGTAAATGACTCCATGTTAGAATGGTGTTGGTTTGGACATAACCACAGTATGTTCCTGATTCACATTCTGCTGTGGTCATTTCTGACCCCCACATGTTTTTCTATTACACTCATGCCCATACTATATTTGTACTCTAAGGTTTGTCTTTATAAGCATATTTTCTTATTCAGTTTCAACCCTAATTATTATAGGCATATTTTTTCCAATGCATAGGGTCATTCAGAGCTTTATTACTATTTTCCAGAAAATCAAAACCACACCAAATTTGAGACCCACAAATTTGATACACACAGTCTTGATTTCTTTGTCTGGAGCACTGATAAATAAGCTTAATAGACTCGCCCTCAGGGCCAATTCCTAGTGGGCCATCACTCAATATGTTTACTATTACTCCATCATCTCTATCACTCACTAATCTTTAGTGTAGATACTCATTTTATTAAAGTAGTGTGGTCAAATATCTACTTTTCCCACATTATCTACTGAACAGATAACACTGGAGATTCTGCTCTGGTCGCTGAATCTTACTTGATTGCTACTAATAATTAGAGCTCCCTGTATGATTTGCTCTTTACAAAGCCCTGTTAACTGTTCCTTGGTATCTCAGGACTTCCTAGGTGACTACAAATTGATTAGCTGATGGTTCCTTCTCATGTTTTTCCCGAAGATCAATACATTGACAGTCTTTAATTACTAGGGTCATCCTGTATTTCCTCCCATCCCATTAGTTGCCCTTTTCTAATCTTTAGGGATTGTTCCCAGTTCTCCATGACTTCTCAGAAATAATGACCTGTGGGACTGTAGCCACATCTGCTAGTTCAGCAAGCACCCCCGGGGTGCACATAATCATATTCTGAATACTTCCAGTTTTCTTCCTTTCTCTCTTACTTCCTTTCTCTTCCCTTGTCTTCCTCTCACTCTCTTTTGATTTCCTGTTCATTTTCCAAAATTCCATCTTTACTGAAAAGTAATAATAAAATAAAGTTAAAAGTTCAGCCTTATCCATTGCCCAAAGGTAATAAGAATTCCTTCCTTCTTAATCATGAAATCAAATTTTTCCTCTCATATTCTTTTTTTTTTTTTTTGGCCATATCAAGGCTGTTTGGGTTTTGCTTTTCTGTACATGCTATCTGTGCCACACTCTCAATTGTCCTTTGCCTTATTTTCCCCTCTTCTGCTATTCTCTTATATACTAACCTGATTTTCTCATTTTGTATGTCTATTGTGTATTAAATTAGTTCTGGGTACTAAAGATCTAAAACAACTTAAGGGGAAAAAATCTTCCACTAATTTCACTGTCTAGTTGAAGAAGGGAACATGAAAGAAAATGATATATACACACACACTTCTTTCTCTGTATGCCAGTTGTGACCATTCGCTACAAGCCTCCTCAACAGCAAAGGCCAAATCATGTTCCTATGAACCGTTCACATCTCCCACAGTGTCTGACATAACAAGAACTCAGGGTGTTTGCTAAAGGAGGGACAGAAATGATAACGCCTGGTAGTATTTGTCAAATGTTGCAGATGATTAAGTATGCAGAGGGGTCGCTCCTTCAGAGTATAATGAGCAAGGAAGGGCTTATATTTCTTTGTTTCATACAGAATTCTGTACAAGTTATATATGTTTGTTTTTCTTTTCCTTCTTGCTTTCTCTACATTTAAAGTTGATTCCCTTTATATTACCTTCTCTAAAGACTAGGTTAAATTCTGACCTCTAAAAACCTTCTCTCAAAATCAATCTCAATGCTATGTTCCACTTCCCAAGTGTTTAAAAAGCCTTATGGTAGGCTGGGGTGCCTTTCCTTAGATAATTATTTTTATTTCATTTTTTTTTCAATAATTCATTAACTGAGCTCCTATAGTTGTACAGGGAAACAAAACTCATAACCCATACAGTTCACTAGAAGATCACAGAAAAAAGTAAACCTCTACTTAAGTATCCCTCTGTGTTAACTCGGTACACCTTCAGCTTAAGTGCACTATTGGAATCATCAATTTCTGTTGTATGTAAAATATTCTAATATGACAATAAACTCAAATTTAATGCAAATCTATTTAAGGTAACATTTTCAATCTTATGAAAGACAAAAAACTTTGTGAAAATTACGAAGATGATGTGATCTAATCAAATCACATTCAAAGTCATTGACAATTAAGAATATAGCAGCTGAGGAAGCTCTGGTGGCCTAGTGGCAGGAAGCTGCACTGCAATCCCAGAGGTGCATGGTTCAAATCCACCAGATGCTCTGCTGGAGGAGGGACAATCTCCTCCTGTACCAGTCAGATCCAATTTGACAGTACACATATAAAAATAATTCAATTAATTTAAATTAAAAAAAATATAGCAGCTATACACCAACTGACAATTGGAGAACATAAAATTAACAAGGGCTGCATGAATTTTAAATTGTACCATTAAAAGCATGAATTGTTAAAACATTTTTGCAAAAATATATCCTCTTTATTACCAAATTGTTAAAGTCAAATGTGAGGAATGTTGTTTCCGCTATCTAAAAACTTAAACCAGAAGCAAATTAATGTTCGATTCATTTACTCTTCATTCTCAGAACTAGTGCATGATTAGAATTACAACTTAAATGTTGATATAAGATAAAATTAAGCCTAGTGTAAATACTTTTTGTTTCATTTTTTCAAAATAAAGGATCACTCTTTTCCTCCATTACTACAAAATTTTTATCCCATTTCATTTGGCCTCAATTTTTAAATCTTTTATTGTGCTTTTACAAAAGACATTATCTTCTCATGTGACAATTTTATGCACAAATTTTCAGTGTCACTAATTCCATTCTTCACAATATCAGTATTCTCTGATTGCCTTCTGGTTGCCCCCTTCTCTTACCATCTTCACTTTAGTGTACTAAATTGTTGACTTACTGGTCTCATGTTGCTGTGCAGTCAAATCGTAATAAACACATAATTAACCCTCCAGTGGGTTCCGCCTCACCTCCAGGCTGTGAATCATAGGGGAGGAGACTATCCATCTTTCTCCTATAGAGCAACAACTGGTTGATTCAAACCACGTATCTTTGGGTTAGCAATCAAGCTCCTTACCCACTAGGCTACCAAAGCTCCCTATTTGGTCTCATACAGATGAATCTTTAATGGAACACCAAACTCACAGGGGTTTGTTCTTTATTTTGTGTACTAATCTGTTATTTCACTAAATGGTGACCTCAGGGAACAGTTTTGGTTCAAAGTTTATAGAATATCTGAGAGTGACAGTCTCAGCAGTACATTATATTCATTTTAAGCAGATTTCTGCCAGTATGACTTACCCTTAGATAATGAAACTTCCCATACTGCTTTGTTACCACTGGACATTTCTGTTCTCCCCAAATACTATGAACCCCTAAGCACAAAAATTAGGGCTTATATTTTTATTACTGCTCTAGCACTACAATCTCAATTTCAATCACAGCCCATATAACTACCTCTAGCTCAGAGATATGAAGGGAATGCAGAGCCTTGAAACCTGGTTACCTGACTTGGAAGAGAATTCCCTCTCTGAAGGTGGTACCACCAGCACATCCCCAACATTCATGATGAAACCTGAAGTTCCTCACTTAGCCATAAATCCTTTGGCTCCTGGCCTGGCCTACTTGAGGGAGGAAAAAGTTTTGAGATTGTCCTTTAAGGCTGGTGTTTTGTGTTTGTGTTTTGTTTACCCTCCAGGATATTCTCTCCTATCACAAAAGGAGCCATCAACGCCTCTCTCCTGGATTGTATCTGGGTTACCTAAAGCTCTGTAGCTCTGTAGACCAGATCAAAGTTCTTGTTACTCAAAAATTGCCCAACATCCTCTGTCATGTGAAGATCCGTGAAAACAATAATATTTCCAAGTAAGTTTTTATGAGTTCAGACTTTCCTCCTGATGAAACAGTGTCTCAAGTGAATGGAAGTGTGAATTCTCAGTATAGTTTTTATGGTGCAACATCTTCTGGGGTGAACACACTGGAGCAGTTACACCCGGATTTTAACGTGATAGCTGTGGTGTTGATTGATGGGGAGAATAATCCTATTAAAAGCCCATCTGCTTTTCTCCTCCTTCATGGTTACAGCCACTGATAGAGGCTCAACTGGCTAATGAATGGATGGTCTTTACTTGCAACGCTGCTACATCTAAAATTTTTTTCATCACAATCTTAAAACAGTCTATTCTTTTTTAAAAAGTATCTCTTATGGGTAGAAGTTTGATAAATGATTAAACAGCATCCTCAATTATCATTTCACTCCTGTTCTGGGCTAAGGACCTTGCATGTTTCCTACAATCCTTTTCACTCTACAAAGACGAAAAGAAGTAGCAATGTCTGAGGTCCTGCAACCTCTGCATTATGGTGAATTACACTTCTCATTTTTGGAAAAGTTGCCCAATCTTGGTAATCTGGCTCAACTTTATAACTAGCCCTTATGGCACACTTCTGTAAACTCTGCTCTAATGAACTGAATTATGCACAAAGTTAAAGGGAAACAAAAAGATAAGAACAGAAGGGAGAAAAACACCTCCTCAGCTCTCTGCAGGCTCAAAACTAAACCCCTATTTCTTGTTACACCTGAAGATTTGCTTAACCAAAAGGCTCCAATTTGTTCATTTACAATTTGCAAAAAGTTGTTAAAATTTTCATAATGTCTTATGAAGCTTATTAACTACATATTATTTTATGGCGATGGAGAAGATGAAGATGATGATGATGCTCACTTGGAACTCACCCCAGCTACCATATCTTCTCTCCTTTCGCCTATCAACTTTGCCTAGACTTTAAGTCTGCCATCTGCTGGTCGCTTCTAAGAGCAACATGACTTAACTCAGACCTTCCCAAAGGGCTCCATGGCATAGTTGTGTGTGGACTGGATACTTTCATCTAGATTTGTGTCCTAAGAGTTAAGACCCCATAGGTTCATGGTTATACCAATTAGTTTCCGATTGCTAAAATCCAAAACTCAATTATACAAAAGATTCTATTCGTTTCCACCTGGCAATTCCACCTCCAACATCCTAATAGCCCAAGTAGATTAGTTAATGCTGGGTGCTTCATTGTATTCCTCTTGGAAACGTGTTTTCTAATTTGGTGGCCCATCACTCTCAGTCAGTTCTGACTCACAGTTACTCTCCATCCAGTTTCTAAGGCTAGAAATCTTGATAAGAGGAGGCTGTCTCATCTCTCTCCTGAAGAGCAGTGAGAGTTTAGAATTGTGGTCCTTTGGGTTTTATGTAGACCTATGCTACTCAGAAACCTCTAATTGTCTTCAATAGCAATGATAGGAAAAAAAAGAAATGGTTCTCAAATATTTGTGAAGGCAATGGTAGGCCCAGATTACAGAATGAATTTATCTCCCCCTCCCCCAATTCAGAAAAAGAAACATATTTCTTTAAAGCAGAATTTTTTTTTTTCCTATGGGACTAGTTTTAGGGGTTTTTTCTGATGGGAAGCTTATGGCACTATCTATTAAGTTTTCTGACCCACTGACTGGAGCTCAAGCTAGTTCTCTTTAGAGAGAATCCTCAGTGGATTTTCCCACGAGTGGGAACATGTGTCAGCACCTCCTATTTACATCCCAAGAGGGGAGGGCTTTCCTTTCCTGCCTGGCCTGCTCTTGAGAGCATGCTGCTGCTCCCTGCAGAGTTTGAAGAAGGAAAAACTGGGCCAACTGAAAGTGTTTAGAGATGTGTGCTCAAATACCTGTGGAAACAATGCTGCCAACAGGCATTTACCTTGATCTTTCCAAGCACTTTTTGAAGAGCAGCCTGTAGGGGTCAAACCAGATGTGTGTTCCTCCCACCACCATCCTTTCCTATCCAGAAGGGAAAGGCCCTTTTGCATGGCATTTGGAAAAGTTCATTAGGAAGGCTTATAGAACATGCAGAGGAAAGACACAGATGACTGGTCCATAAGGAGGATAGAGCAGTGGTGTGTGTTCCCTGGTTCCTTTTATTGGAATTGTCTGGGTTCCTGTTTGTGATTCTCCTCATGCTTCCAGAAGGGGAAAGAAACCAAAATAGTCCACACAATTACAACAGGCCAGGGTTGAAATGTGCCATGTGGTTTGTTGGCTGAGTTGGACCAGAGAACTGTGGTTACCCAACTGCTGAACTAACCAGCAGATGCCACTGTGGTCAAATGCAGGGTCTTAGAACTTACAGAGGATCTGCAGGGGATGAATAATGAGGACAGTCAGGAAATTATTACCAAAATATTTGAAAACTCCAATCAAAAAAAACTGATTCATACAAATTAGACTTGCTGTTCTGAGGTATATGTGGTTTGATAGGTGAACTAAGCTTAAATTAGAAAGTGCTCATTTTAAACTCCATTTGGGTGGTAAAAAGTTCAAATTTCAGGAACTGCACTGAGCTTTAACCATCACGAGCTGATCAGCCAGGTTCTGGACATACACACTAAGAAAGTTCTGAGCTGTGTTCTGATCTTTTGTTATATTTCTAATTTTAACTTGACTCAACATACAGGGAGGAATGGGAATGGATCCAAAAGCTTTCTGGCTCTGAATCTATGGAAAGTGTGGATCATACTTTTGACTGCCCCATGCAATTGTTCTTCTATGAGCTCCAGATGGCAGTGAAAGCTCTCCTTAAGCAGATCAATATACCTCTGCACCAGGTACTAGACTTTACCATTTTTATCTTCTTACAGGGCTCATGGAATCCGCACTGTAGCATAAAACTTACTCAAGGGATAAAAAAATAACAGGTTATTTGTTTATTTTATTTTCATTTCTTTGAATACCACTTCGCATGTAACACACAAGGTTTTTAATGTTAATGCTCTTCCATGTTATCTTCTCCCAAATTCCCTAAACCCCACTAATTAAGATGGTCTGGCCAAGCAAGGAACTGCACCATTGGCCAGTCAGTCTATCCTGAAATACGCCAAGTCTCTGCTTCAGGATTGCACAAAGCAAGGAAAAACACACAGATGGATAAGTAGGTCTACAAATGATATAGCTAAGAACAGAAGAGTGAAGATAGTTCCACCCAAAGACACTCTGAAAGACGGACTTGGGGATCTATTTCCAAAAGATCACAGTCTTGAAAACCATATGGAGCAGTTCTACTCTGAAGCTCATGGGGTCGCTGTGAGTTGGCCTCAACTTAACAGCAACCATATAACAGTATAGTCTGCAGTAAGAGTTAAAACTCTGCACCGTCACCTTTCCACAGGCAGAGGACTTGCTGTCAATATGATCGTTTTATGTAAGTCAAAATATGAAAATTTCATATTCACTAATAAGTAACTTCAAGAAAAAATTGTTGGCCTTGAAGAGAATAATATATGTGTTTAATTAGGCTCTGTGCATTAAGCTGGTATGACACAGCATTGAGCTGAATTTTCTTCTTATGTTCTTTCTTTTACCATCCCTCATCCTCTCCCTCAACACACACACACACACACACACACACACACACACACACACACACGCATGCGCATGAACCAACACACTCGGCCTATAAACAGAAAGACCATTATAGAAGTGACTGGCTCTCTTTAAATAACAGAGAGACAACCATGAATTGGCCTCTGACCTCTGGAAGCAGGGGGATAGATTAAAACCCCAAGAGTGTTCTTCCAGTGGACCGCTGGTCTGATTGTAAGTAAATACTGCACAGCCAGTCCAAAACAGCCAGCACTGTGATGAAAAATAAATTGCACAAGATGCCATAAAGACACGCAGAGAGCAGCTAGCTTATTCCAGAGGTGGCCATGCACTCGGGGAGGCGGGCGTGCGGGGGGCGGGGGTGATGAGGGGGGGAAAAGTCCCAGCTCTACTTGTGACAGTAGATACTATTAAAGGGTTTCTTGGGCTTAGCAGGTTTGAAGCGGCTCATATTTCATTGGTGACTCTCGGGCTACATACACGTTTGGAGAAAGCTGACTAACAGCGTATACAACAATTTTTTTTTTAATACTTGTAAAATTTTCTCAGTCCTTGGCCAGAAACGACATTTTTCCCCCTTAACCAACTTAAATTGAAACTAGTGGATTTTTAATTCAATCCGTTTTTGTTGCTTCATGTAATTATATTCATCATTTTGAAAACCCCACAAAATGCAATCATTTTCTGCTTTTATAAGAAGCATAAATGCTGTTTTCAGAGTTTATATGGAACATTACTGCCTTAAATCTTTATTTTATATAGCATTATTAAATGGGCTGAACCCTAATATTTATGTTGTATAAAAATTCCAAGCTTGAAGTCGTGTAATTTTGTTAGATGTTTTATGCCAGTTTGGTGTTGTTTATGTAAGTGCCATGTTGTAACTCTCCTATTTTCCCTCCGCGCGTGTCCCTCTGCAGGCAAGGAACTTCCGCCTCTACACACAGGAGGTGTTGGAAATGGGTCACAATGTGTCCTTTCTTCTCCTGCTCCCTGCCTCAGACGACGTCTGTACAGCCCCAGGACAGAATAATCCTTACACCCCACACTCAGGGTTTCTTAACCTCCCTCTTCAGATGTTTGAACTTGGTATACTAGCTTGTTTCACCTAGAAATATTAGCCCAGCCTCCTTATAATAAAATCACAAAGTTATATCTGTTCCCGCTTGTCCCAGTGGAGGGTCAATAAATCACATGATGGCTTTGGCAACAACCCTTCCTAAAACTGTGTACAAGTCTGAGAAAAAGCAAAGCTCCAGGACTATGTGCCTGAGCAATAATTACTGAGATCTCGCTAAGGCCCAATGGAGAGGAGGGAATGTGAAACAGAAAGTTCAGTTGTCAGGCTGCAGTTCTTGCCTCCCCTTTGCTTTCTTAAAACAGAAATACAAGAACTGATGTTTCCATGAAAAACACTGTTCTCTCCATTTCCTCTCTCTTTGGGGGGAAAAAATCATGACATTAGAGTTTGTATCACTTTAGAGGAGGGGAAAAGCCCTATAACTTTAAGTAGTGCTCGTTGATGAAATAGACTATCCCATTAAACAGACTAAATTTCTGACAGACTATTTCTGGAATTGACAGGGTCTCTCAGGATGCAATCAATACTGTGACTCTAATGTGAAATTCTGAGTGGTAGCAGATCTTGTTTTGATTTTAGAGAATGAATAGCCCAGGCCCCTGTTTCTCTATTTTTGCAGAGACCCCTGCTGCCCACCGAGAATGTGAATAGGGTGCCTTTGTCTCTCTTCCCCAAGCTTCATCTAGTAACAGGCTAATAAGAGGCAATTAGCAGGCGTGTTCAGTCAGTTCAGATGAATTGCATGACTTGTGGGAGGGTGAGGGCAATGGAGGCAGATCTTCTTTGGACTGCAGATGTAGAAGCAGACCAATCAAATGCCTGATGTCTTAGTTTGAGAGTTGGCACCTATCTGAATTTATCCCTTGAGAATAAATTGCATAAGCCTCTGGGTTTCCTTTACTCCGAGCAGTTCAGGTACCCAAAAATGACGAACCAATTAATCTTTTCCAGAGGCAGGAGGAGAGTTGTTAATAAAAGCCTGAATTAGACTCGCAAACTGGGGCTTGAGAGTCCTCGGTCCCCCATTGTGTGACAGTGGCAATCACTTAACCGTTCTGCATCTTCTTTGTGTCACACAACAAATAACATTGGCTTTACCTTTCCCAAGAGGCCTGGACACAAATGTGTCCATTTAATGAGTTCTTAGCCCAAGAGCATTATCAGGCCATGATATAACGCATTACTGTCAGGAAATAGTGTAGTCAGAGTATTTCAATTCAAGTCAGTAAGCATCTACTGGGTGCCGACTGTGCAGCTGCAGAGATTAGTAAAACAAGGGCTCTGCCCTACCGAGCATTCTTCGTCTAGCTGTCGGAGTAAAATAAGAATATGAATTATTCTAGGATAAGGTAGAATGTGCTAGAAATCATAATAACTATTCTAGGATAAGGTAGAATGTGCTAGAAATCATAACCACTAGGTGAATATTAAAGAGTAAAGATTTTACAAAGAAGATATCATAAAAGATTTCTCAAAGAAGAGGATAGTTGATGTGGGTTTTAAAGAATATATATGATGTTTATAAATATGGATTTAAAAAAGAAAGAAAAGCTTTCTTATCCAAGTGTTGTTGTTGTCATTGATTGCCTTCGAGTCCATCACGACTCATAAGCAACCCTACGAACAAAAGGCCTGAAGTCCCTTTCTATAACTATCGACCTTTATCAAAGTTCATAGAGTTTCCAGAGGCATGTTGTGTAGGAAGCGGATGCCTCTCTTGCTCCCAGAGTAGAACAGAAATAGAAGAACCCAGAGAGAGTCGGAGAAAATTGGTCCAGGCTGAGTAGATCAGAGAACGATGTCAGGAAAAAGTGAAGCATGCAGCTGTACTGACAAGCTGAAGCCACACTGGGCATTATCTTGACAGCGAGGCTGAGGAATGGATTAAAGAGGGATTTAGGAGGAAGAAGTAGACATTTAAGAAGCTATGATAGTAGCCCAGTGATAAGGCAGAACCCAAAAGGAGGAAATAAATAGAAGAAACACTGGATGTAATCAGGGAGATCAAGGCAACAATTGGAATGAAGAAAGGAGAAAAGCTCCGTGGTTTTCAGCCTCAACTGTGAGTTATCAGTGTCACTACCAGAAGTAAGGAAACGAGTAGGGGAAATGACGTGGTAAAGAGTGAACATGTGTCTTATGCAGAAGAGAAAGTTATGCACGTAACCTTGGGATCTGGTCAGTACCAGGTGATAGCAGTGGAGCTATGGGAGTGAATAGACTCTCTGGGATTGACAGAAACTCTAGAGAAGAATTTTTCACTACTGAACAGCAATCTTTTCAATTTGAAATGGTTGCTGTGACATGCTTCTTGGTAAAAATATATGAAACTCCTTTGCCCATCCATCAGTGGCCTTGGTAGAAATAATCAATGATTTAGTATCAAGGATTTCTTCTCTAAATAGGGTTCTGCTGGCATAGTCCATAGCAAGTTGAGCTGCTAACGCAAAGACTGAACTTCTCTGGTGGTTTAAGCTTGGCTGGTGTCTGCTAACATCATGTGCCTCTTCAGTCATTCATTCACTATTAAATATTGAGTGTTCTACTAGGTGCCAGGCACTGCTTTAGATAGTGAAGAATCCACAGTGAAGCCTTCTCAAGGAGCTTAAATTCTTATGAGGAGACAGATAATGAACCAAACTAGAAAGAATTCTAAACTTCAGAGGGTAGTGAAAGCAGTGAGGAAAAAGAAATTTAAAGGACTCAAATTATTAAAGGCTACATTTTTAGCAAAGATGATTGAGGAAGTCTTCTTTGGAAAGAATACTTTTTGAATAGGGACCTGAGAACTCCAGACAGTGGGGAAAGCAAGGGAAAGGTCTCTAAGTAAGAGCGTATGCTTGCCCTGTCTGAAGAAGAGCCCAGAGAACAGTGCAGGTGGAGTGCAGTAAGTCAGAGGGTCAGGGATAGAAGAGAACAGCCAAGTCGACAGAGGCCAAATCATGCAGGAGCTCACTCACAGGCCACAATATGGGCTTTGCGTTTACTTTAAGCATACAGGTGACAGAAGTGAAGGCTTTTAAGCAACAGAATAACATATGAAACGTCCTGAGAAGGCTAATTGGGGGGGGATGTTTACCTTTGTTTAAACAACATTTATAGGTGAACATTATAGAACACATGTCTTTAGTTTGGGAAAATTATAGAATTTTCCAAATCTTGAAGTTTTATTTCCATCTTACAGAGTTCATTTTTTAAGTTCATCTCTTTACTTCAGCATTTGACTGTAAGTAGCAAGGAGAAACTGCACAGCACCTTTAAGAACTTACTTAAAATTCCTATCAACTAGATGTTCAAGTTCATTATTTATTCAAGTTATGCCTCCCACCAAATATCTGAATATAATTAAAACAAGTTCTTTGCCACTACTGCATAATAAGCACCACCTTCATCTATTGTCTAATCATATGTCCATCATTTTCTTCTAAAGCCTCTCAGAAGTACATTTAATGTCCACATTGCTTGCAGGACTCTGGAGCTGTATGTATTCTCCAAGACAACAGGGACTTTCTCTGTAGCTTCCCTCACTTCCTTCTGACACTCCTCAGAACTGTCTTAGGCATTCCTAATTCTACCATCAATCTCCTCAAGGCAATTGAGGCTTTTATTATTTGGCACCTGAAGAACTCTTCCAGCCTCTACCCATTACCCAATTCCAAAATCACGTCCACGTCCGTCAGAGCAGAGCCCCACTCCTCCGGTACCATGCAGCGCTGCTAGGACGGAAGCACCTTTCCTCCTCACTTGAGTTAGAAGTCCCAACCCAGGCTGGCAGCTCTGGAGGAAGGCCTGTCTCTTCTGTGCTTCTGCTCCTGGGCAATCTCCATGTGGCCTGACATGTGTCCTCCTACATTACTGCTTACTGGTTCACATTTCAGTTCTTTTATATCTTCAAAAGAGACTGTCTCAAGATACACTCCACACTAATCTTGCCTCATTAACATAACAAAGACAACTCATTCTCAAATGAGATTATAACAGGCAGAGAGGCTAAGATTTACAACACATATTTTTGGAGGACACACTTCATAATGTTCAGTACACACTATCTTTCATCTATGAAAATCGGGCCACAGATCAAAGCCTCGGGTACCAGTAATTTCTGACTTAAAAGATGGTGCTTCCTAGAGTGAGTCCTATCTTCTTACCCTACTGGTCTTAACACCTGACTATCTTATCAGTGCTCCAAATTCATTAGGATCATCTGTATCCCTCAATATCAAGAAAATAAAAATCCTCTCAACTGGATGAGTAGGCAAACAATACGATAAATGGAGAAGAGATTGAAGTTGTCAATGTTCTCATTTTAAGTGATCCCACAGACAACACCCTGGATGGCTGCAGCCAAGAAATCAAAAGACCTCTTGCACTGAGCAGATCTGCTGGTAAGGAACTCTTGGAAGTGCTAAAGAACAGGGATGTCAGTTTAAAAACAACGTGCACTTGATCCAAGCCATGGTACTGACCATTGCTCTGTATGCACATGCAAGTTGAACAAGGAACAAGGAAGTCAGAGGATTGCTGCCTATGAATTGTGGTGTTGGTAAAACACACTGAATATACCTTTTCCTGCCAAAGGACCAAACAAATCCGTCCTCAACAAAGCGTAACTAGGGTTCCCTTTAGAGGCAAGGATGGTGGGCCTTCATCGTACATGCTGTGGGCATGCTGTCGGGAGGATCTAGTTCATGCTTGGAAAAGTAGAGGGTCAGCAAAAAGGAGAGAGAGGAAGACTGTCAACAAGATGGACTGACGGAGTGACTGCAGCAGTGGGCCTGAGAGTGGCGGGGATGGTGAGGACAGTACAAGACGGACAAGGTTTCCGTCTGTTGTTCATTGTGTCGCGATGAGTAGTAAGGAACTCAACAGCACCTATCAACTAAACCCATATAGGCTTCAAGAAGAGGCTGTTTGGTTGAGTTTAGTTCCATTGGCATATACAATTTTGTTGTCTTTTCTAGGGACCAGGGGAAACTATTGCCAACAGCTGGAAATTAATGTGCTCTCTAGTACTGTGCTTTGAAGTACTGT